GAAGTCTTTCTTGAGCAAGCTTTCCACTAAACTCAAGTTGACCACTGATACCAATAGAAAATTTTTGTGACCAAAGTATGGAGCTCACGGGGCTTCTTCTGCACTAGTTTATGGATTTTCTTAGGTGTCAGGTGTCACCAAATCAACTGAATATTTTCTTTCTCACGCTTCCCTTTGATTACAAGAAATATAACAAGCTACTAGGGTCTGAAGTTCCTGACCTTTGCTCATGCAATTATACAAATACACAACCACATGTCAATCCTAACCACAAGGCTTTGGATGCTGATTTTGGAGAAAACAAGTCCAAGGCAGCTGCCTGAAACACCACCACCCCCAACCTCCCTACCAGGAGCCATGTGGCACTTACAAGGAGCCAGGAGAGTTTTCAAGGCTTCCTTGGAGGAGCCACAGTCCAGGATTTTGTCATTACTTTCCCTCTTCCACCGCTCCCAAATTAGAAAAGGCCATTTGGACACCCTGGCAGGTTGGCTTACAGACGATTTGCAGCCTAGGAATAGAAGCAATGTCCGCACTTGTGCGTGTGCATATGAGGGTGAAAGATTTCATCTACTAGTCTACTTAAACACAGATTTATTTTTTTTTTTACTGAAAGTGAGCAACTTCCACTGAATCTCCTGGAAATGATGTCAGGGTCATCTTTCTTCCAAGTGTACTTGAGCTGCTTAACTAACTTTTCCACTCCATTCAATACACAGCTTATTTAACATTTTATATACATTATGCCTCCATGAGTGATCCTGTAGTGACCGCAAGACATGGAAGGTAATAATCAGTTATTCAAAAACGTTCAAATCCTCCCGCGGATGGAATTTTGCCATTGACGCAACAAGTGGGAGCTTTGAACCCAAGTGTGACAAGCACAACCTCAACGAAACTGTAAGTCTCCTCAGCAAATAAAAACAGACGGGGAGGAGACGTGTAAAAGGCCTATCGAATGGAAATGTCCATGTGTCTCCAGATCTACTTGACTTGTCTAACGCTGAGACAGAGAAGAGGAACCAGGAGTATCTGCAGTTGAGAAAGGAGGATACATACAGGACTGAAAAGAGCTGCAGAAGATGCTATCCTGACGGTGACATTAAAGGCCCTGCTGATGGTTGTTGGGGATTTTTTGGTGCTTACAGCAACCATAAGGCTGCACCTTTTTTCTTTTGTTTTGTTTTGTTTTGTTTTGTTTGTTTTCCACTTTTCTTCCTCTCCCCAAGAACAGCAGCAAAAATCAGCTTTGCTGAGCAATTTCAGTCAGACCATTCCTAACTCCCCTCCACTCCAGGAGCTGCACTGCTGCTGCGGGGTGACCACCAGTGGTGTTCTAGATGGCAAATACAGCTGCTAGGCTTTTCTATTTTAATTTACAAACACAAGAACAAATCCATTGTGGACCTACTATCTCACACTTTAAAGAGGACTTTTCTAAGTGTGTGGATCTGTTTGGACCAGATGAAAAGGAAAGCTACGGATGAGAAGAAAAATGAGAACAATAACAACAACAACAATAAAAAACAGTCCTATTTATGAAATCATACTGCTTAAATATTGGAATACAGACTACTGGTAAAGTCCCTTACAAAAGATGCCCATTCAGTGAGATTGTAACTAGTGACAGGTGAACTGAAAAAGTTTGGAAAATTGAGAAAAATAAGAAACAGGTCAGAGAATCTTGTGGGGTAAATGTTCCCCTTTACATTTCTACTATCTTTTTATTTTAGTTCAGCTGGAAATAAATACTGCTGAAAATCTGCCATTTTCAAGCCCAGAAGAACCCATGAATACAAAGATACATGAAACATGAAAAGGTGTGGGTTTTCTCTTGTTTTATTTCTGGTTTTAAACTCAGGGAATCTGGTTCTAAAGACCTCATGCCAAAACTGCACTAACTTTTCCCTGGATCCAAACCAGTTTATCTATGACTAGTCATGGTATTTTAATACAGAGTTCCTCATTTACATAAAACAGGTAAAATAGGTCACAAGTGTTTAATCAAGTAAATTAGGAAAAAAATTAGTTGTATTTGCAGTCAGAAATAGGTAGAAAGCACATACTTTTTAAAAAATATATTTTTTTAATAAATTTGGCAGAGGATCATGTTGAAATGCAAATTTATCACCAAGAAAAGTTCAGAAATCTGGTAATAAAAGCGTTAGGAAAAACCGAAACTGTAAAAATGCGAGTGGAGCTCATTGGAACTCAACCCCCAGATAAAACAAGTAGAATTAATTATCCTTTTTTATTTTTTTTGGAGGGGAGGGAAGAGGGAAGAGAGGAACTGTTTTCCAGAAACAATAATTTCTTAGCTCTTCACGAGTCCCAGCCCTCCCTTGCAGTCACGCTAAAGAGCACAGCGGGGCCGGAGCAGTTTACATAGAGAACTCTTCAATGAGGTTGTTGCATATGTGTGAGACATTTTCACTTGGTACATGGAAGCGACTGATTTGAATGGCACAGTTTATATCGAAATGGGGCTGGGTTCTAGTTCTCTAGTAGTCGTACTTTGAAAGGTGTAGTATTAGCCCTCTGGTTCTTCACGCAAAGACATTCTCCACAATGTGGAGATGCTAAACACCCAGCTGACTGCTGGAGAAGCCTTTGATGTAGCCAAACCATTTGTTTGTCCCTAACTAAAGCTTGTCTCAGCTCTACAGCATGAAAGTGATGTGCAAACTGTATCTCAAACGCAGTTGTATGACAAGATATATATAAAAAATAATAATCAAGCATCAGTGTTTCATCTGCACTCACAGAAACCATTAATTTAGACCCCCTAACCTGCTACTCCCTCTTCACCCAGGCAGGTGTGCCTCTTTACTGCAGACACTAAATGTAACCCAAAAATGAGGGTCCCAGCTGAAGCCCACTAAGAGAGTTATGTTTGATTACATTTCCTTGCCTTTGATGGTTAAAGGCTGTTTAAAAAAAAAAAAAAATTAGCTGTATGCATGTTTGTTTATTTTGGGCACATCTGATGACACTCACTGGCTCACAGAATTTCTCCATTGACCTTTGGATGGCCATTGCCACTGGCCCAGCAGGTGACATTAGATGTTTGCCAACTCCAGCTGTGGAAAAGTTTCATTTATAACTCTCATAATACAGCAACCAGAAAAAGAAAACAAACGCAACTCTGCTGTAGCTGGTTTTGTTGCTGCAACTCAGCTATCTGATGTAAAAATGTGTACAAATTCAAACTGGAAAGATTTTGAAAGTTATAGATGCAGCCACTTTTTCTTTTTTTTTTCTTTTTTTTTTTTTTTAAATTTTGGTCCATCTCTTACTTTTAAATCACCCCTTTTCTGTTACAGGAAAACCAAGCTAATCAACAACTGTTTGTGCTGCTGTGGCCAATTAGCCCATGGGACAAGAAAAAAATAAAATAAAACTACTGTGTAGGAATGTTAAGAACTGGATATGTTCCTGTTTAAATGACAAACTCTGCCCTGACAGACTAAGCTGACAGCAGAATAAGCAGATGCAAACTCTGCTTTTATCAAGCATTTCCTCTAAATACCTTTGGATAGCCTAATTGTGGTATCATAAGAAGAAAAAAACTTCTCCTCTAATACAATGCCCACAAGAAAAGGCTGAGTTTTGCCAGAGAATCTGTTCCCAGCACAACCTGCTTAAGTTTAAAAAAAAAAAAAAAAAAAAAGGCTTTTGCCCATGTTTTGGACAGTCTTCAGGGAGCAATTCCCCATGGAAACATCCACCTGGCGCAGGCAAAGTGGAACCCCCATTCCTACACTCCTTGTAGTGGTTTCTCTTCGCTCCCCAGTCTAACCTGGAACGGTACGCAATTCCTTCTGACCAAGTACGAAACTCTTCCGTGTTACATGTTCCCTTTGCTTTAACTGAAAATCCCAAAAGCCTGTTTCTTTAGCAGACAAGATTCACAACTATGTCTGCCCTCCCCCAATATAAAATTACGGTTTAAGCCAATGATGGGCAAGGAGCCTGGGGGCCCAGGTCCACTGCTGCTACTTAGTGCCATGGGACAAGGGACAGTGCTTTTGTCTGCTCCCGCAACAGTACCCCCCCCCCCCCAAAAAAAAAAAAAAGAAAAACCCTGAACCCACAC